TTTAAAAAGATAGAAGTCTTCTGAACTTCTTTAACTGGGCAAAGCAGGGAGTCCAATCTTGCTAGGCCCACAAAACAGTTTTGGGGGGGGGGGGGAGGTTCAAGAAGGAAGAATCCTAGCCAGTTCAGATTTTGGACTTTTGAGGCCCTGTTATGTCTGCAGGAATATCTAACGAAGCAATATAAATCATTTAAGCATATAACAGTAGATAAAATGGTACCCTTCCAATATTTTGAATTAGCTGTCAGTCAAACCATCTGGAGGACAGCAAGTTTTCCTGCAAGCAGTGGGCCAGGTGGGAAACAACGAGCAGCCACAGCTTCAACCAAGATGCCGATTTAACCCGTGAGAACAGCAGTGTCCTTACCAAGGTTTAGGCTTGAAGAGGAGCCATGAGAAGACAAAGATGGTGGAGGAGTCTGAGAGTGACCAGGTCCCTGACTAGGCAAAGGCATGCCTACCGGACCCGGTGAAGAGGAAAATCCAAGGCCATTATAAAAGCTATGTCCTATAGGAGTCAAATTGCTGGATGTTCTCTTGTAGAGATCAGTGCTGCCTGTGAGGGAATCTCTGCGAGAACCGCTGCCTGTGTTGGAATTGGCAACTGAAACAGAAAGGAAAGGAGGTGAGGAGTGAAAGGTTTCATCAGTAAGGAAAGGAGGATACTGAAGAGGAAGGATACCCGCAGGGTCTAGTTATCAAAGCAAAACTGAAAGACTGAGAATTACCATATTTTTTGCACTATAAGACACCCTCAAAAAAGTGGGTTGAATTATCTGTGCCTCTTATAGAGCGACTATTGCGGAGGGGGGAGGGGTTGGTATGATGGCAGCTTCTCCCTGATTTTATGGGGCTTCTCCCTGATTTTATGTAAGCCGCCCTGAGTCCCCTCAGGGAAAAGGGCGGCCTATAAATGTTAATAAACCTATAAACCTATAAACCTATAAACCATCACCTATCACTGTTGCCACTGTTGGCCGCCACCAAATGGAGGCTGCGGCAATCAGCAGCAGCACCTGTCACCTAGAACAGCTGATCAGCAGTATTCCAGGAGGCTGATCCGACCGCCGATCAGCTGCTGGGCAGCAAAGGCTCCAGCGTTCTCCAGTGGCTGCAGCAGCTCAGCTCAGTTAACCGGCGGAGGGCGCAACAGAGCAGAGCCCCGATGAACCACATGGTGGGGCTGCGATAACGTGCTGAAGTTAACCAGGCTCTTTGCTGCAAGGATGCTAGCCAGATGAATACCGGATGGATGCTGGGAGGCAGAGGCAGAGGTTTTTTTTCTTGTTTTCCTCCTCTACAGCTAATGTGTGCCTTATGGTTCGGTCCGTCTTATAGTGCGAAAAATATATCTCCAAATGCTGAATTCTTTCAAATTAACAGAAACAGGCATGACAAAGTAGTGTCCAAACTTCAAACAACATTCTCCACATTAAATCATTTTGTTTTTTAAAAAAATAAACCTGAAAAACTCTGAAATCAAAATCTTGCAAAATCTTGTTGGAATGCCAGCATCCTGTTTTACACATTGTTTTAATTTCCTCACCTGAGATTTCAAGAATTGAGGGATCTAATTATTGAAAAGGATATGGCATTTCTCTGAGGTTTTCGTTTTCCCTGAGAATTATTTTCTCAGTCTCTTTCTCGGCCATTTAGCAAAGAACCAGTGGGATATAAGGGTTGAAGTACTGAGATCCAGAGTGTGGAACATAATTTACTGAGAAACCTTGGTTTAGTCACAATTTTAATATAATACTTTTGAGGTGTTTAAATAGAATAGGGAAGACCACACAAAAAAGGCTAGAAGAATACAAACAAACATAGCAATAAATACTCCTTCATATATAGATATCAATGAATTGAAATATGGGCTGTGTTACACACTGAGTCATATTCATTTCTCATATTTAATAACTGCCAACCTCCCTCACATGGGGACTTATATGGTGTTTGATAGGGCTGTGTTGTGTGAACCAAATTCTAGAGATACCCTGAGAGAACTGTGACTTTAGTACAATGTGTAAGCCAGGGTCATGTCCTAAAGCTGCGGCCTTCAACCTTTTGGGCATCAGCAACTGCTTCCGTAGAGAGAGAGGTTTTTCCAGCAGACTGGAGGGAGCCTGGCTTTGCATGCTGTCTGCATCCCACGGATGGGACTTCGCTTGTTTGCCTGGCCCAGTTTCTGGAATACCGAGGTGGCAGAGTGGTTAAGAGTACAGTAATACAGGCTACTTCTGCTGCCTGCCGGCTGCCTGCAATTTGGCAATTCAAATCTCACCGGGCTCAAGATTGAGTCAGCCTTCCATCCTTCCGAGGTGGGTAAAATGAGGACCCAGATTGTTGGGAGCAAGAGGCGGACTCTGTAAATCGCTTAGAGAGCTATAAAAGCACTGTGAAGCAGCATGTAAGTCTATCTATGTTATGCCGCGGCCTGGTGCCATTCCCTGGATTGGGGGCTGGGGATCCCTGTCCCATTAGAATAACAGAGTTGGAAGGGACCTTGGAGGTCTTCTAGTCCAGCCCTCTGCCTAGACAGGAAACGCTATGCCATTTCAGACAAATGGCTATCCAACATCTTCTTAAAAACTTCCAGTGTTGGAGCATTTACAACTTCTGGAGGCGAGTTGTTCCACTGATTAATTGTTCTCACTGTCTAAGTAACGTGCCCTAAAGCAGTGTTTCCCAACCTTGGCAACTTGAAGATGTCTGGACTTCAAGTCCCAGAATTCCCCAGCCAGC